CTCTGTGAGATGATTTTTCCAACTCTCTTTCCACCGTGGTGGAAACCAATGACATTGACCTTCACAGTACTTGAAAAGAATGTTGTTTGCTCCTTACCAGCACATAATAGGAAAAATCCATGATGGATTCACAGTTTCTGAGAAAACTCTCACTTAATGAGAAACCTGAACTAAATGGCAGATATGAAGCAGTAGGGTGTACATTACCAAAAAAAGTACCACTTCAAATGTTAATGAGTTGAACTCATGTTTAAGAAATTTCATGAGGACCTTACCTGTATTGCTTTGTTATGTTCTTTTTCTTTTCTGTACTTTGGGGAAAAGAACTGAGATGGAGTGTTGAAGTTGCACGTAGAAAACATGGGCTTTGGGGGAAACTAGTAGCAACAAATCTGCCGCTGGCTATTTGTGTGGCCCTAGCAGTTGCTTGGCTGGACTTTGTTTGTGAGGATTTGATGTGGTATTTGTAAAGCACCTAACAGAGAATAGAAATTAATTAGTGTGTGCTACCTAGCGTAATTTTCCACACTGTGTACCCAGGGCATTAGGCTAGATAAGTCGGTATACTTTAAGAGGAATGTAACTTCTGACTGTGAAAAGCAAATTTTGTTTGCTGTGATGCAATCAGTCATAATGTAGAAATGTGTGCAGTATAAGATGGAATGTAGCACATGGTATTTATGTACTTTTATAGAATTTATGAACATGTTCATAGTATTTTTGGAACCTTTGTCTTGGGTTTGAACTTCATAGAGACCTGCAAATTTTGTTTCAAAGCCACAGACTGTGTTCTTCCTCTTTACAGTCATAGTGCAAATAGAGTATGTGCCATTTCTGGCCCGTGGGCTCAAAAGAGAAAACAATCCAATACAGTTTCTAACTAGCATGTGTATGTAGAAAGAAGTCAGGGCTTCGCCTTTGTATGCAAAACTAGCATGTTAGGATGTTAGTAAAGACCCAAATGTAAAAGCAGAACTAAGCAACATTTAGAGTTGCTATATTAGCTGTCTACAAATAGTGCTGTTTTCATAGTAAATTCATGGCATTTATGCACACTGAGTACCTGTTTGTACTGAAGTATCCATGCTGTTCACTGAAGAACAGGAATAACTCCTAGATGGTGGAAGCACAGGTTTCCTTGCTATTCATGGTTCTGGTTTCTGAACCGACTACCGATGTCACTGCAGACTGACGCATATGGGAAACTAAAGAACGACTGGGTTTTTCTCTCCTTGCCAAAAGCTTTGGTTGCTTTTAGATTTCCTGCCTGTGGCCTGTTTCTGGAGAGAAGGCTGGGAAGAGTCTTTGTAAGGAATGTTATTGCAAGTGTTGCACCTTGAGTCTAGATGTCTCCGCAGCGCCTTCTGCAGTCATAGGTGGGGATTTTTGGATGTGGCTGGATTAAGGTTGTAATGCAGGGATTAAGTGTGTGGTGCTGGGATTAAGAGTGCTTGATTACTAAATTAGTCCACTGATTGGTTTGGTGTAGCTCTGGGTGTGATTAATGGGAATTCCGGAACTGAGCATGGTTGACACCATCCAAAAGGCAGTTAGCTTAGAAGGGATAAGGACTGCTGCTGATTCACTACTTTGTTTCATTCTGCCTGCCCCAAGCTGTTTCTCCTCTCCATGCCCCTCTGCCAAGCCACCCTGCCTTGGAGCCAGCTGACTGTGGACTGAAACTGCTACAAACTATGAGCCGAGATAAGCTTTCTTCCTCTAACTTTGGGTGTCAGGCATTTGTCTTATCAACAAGAAGAGTGACCAATAAACCAAGTGTATGATTTAATACCCTAAATGGCCCTGTTGTGCTGAGATGTTATAATTGACTCATCTCCTATTCAGGCTTAGTAAATGCTAGCTGGTTGGTGAAAAGACTGTTTGGGATGAGTCTGAATTCGGGTACAGAGTCAGCAAGTGCTGATTGGCTGGGGAGGAGATCCACATGGCTTATGATCAGCCTGAATTCAGCTATAATAGTCTGTTACCCATGGTTTCACTTTCCGTGGCTTTATTTACGTGGGTCAGCTGAAGACCGAATTGTTAAATGGGAATCTCCTGAAGTAAGGAATTCAGAAGTTTTAAATTGCATGCCCCTCTTGATGAAGTCTCACACTTTCCTGTTCCAGCCTCCTCCAGTCGCAAGCTCTCTCCAGGGTACCACATGGTAGGTGCACCTTCTTGTTACCAGGCCAGTGGTCTTAGTGTTATGGCAGTCACATTCAAGTGACCTTAAGTCACAGCCAAACACCCACCATGCCTCCATTCCTCACTTTACAGGCGCTGTCACCCATGGCACCACAGGGAGAAGTGTAAGCTCTGCAATGAGATGTTTTAGAGACCACGCAACTTTTATTAGATAGTAGGTTGTGGACAGTTCTGTTTTTATTGTTATTTTCTTACTGTTTCTGTTTACAAATTAAACCATATCTAAATAAAAAAGTAAAAATAAATTAAACCATATCTTAGACACTTAAGTACAGCATGGGAAAAAGCATATCTAGGGTTCGTTTGGAATTATCTTTGGTTTCAGGCACCCACTGGGAATCTGGGAACATATCCCCTGTAAATAAACAGTGGGGCTACTGCACTAGAACCCAGGCAGTCCGAGTGTGTGCAAATTAGTCCATGCATCCATTGCTCTGTGTTTTAATATGTGTATATCGGTGACCTGCAGTCCGGATGTCACAAGTACAGTTAGCCAGGACTGTTTGAAGCTGTGGTTCCAGGAATTATATTCAGTGTAATTTAAAGGTTTTAATGACTACTTACTGTGTTTGGCAGTATTGCACGACATAAAGTGAAACTGTAAACCACATTCCTTATGCTTTAGTGAATAAGGTGGATATATGTGTTTGTCTAGAAAGGAACTGAACTGTGATCAAGTGTGAACATGTTAGGATTGGTGTTCCATATTGGGATGTGTAAACTCTTCAGGAAGGTCGTCCTGTCTTACATACTCCTGTACCCAGTGCTGAATCACCACCTTGCGTTAGGAGCATCTGCCAGTGGGTATTTGCTGAATGAATGAATGGTACTAGGTCTGTATGTAGGATAATGTTGCGAGAAAATGCGATTGAAATAAATAAACCAAGAGTTGCTGATTTTCTCCGATTGTATACCAGCATATGTACACAGTCTCTGGCTTATGATTTTTCCAACTTGACAATGGTATGGAAGCCATACACATGCAGCAGAAACTGTACTTTGAATTTTAAGTTTCCTTTTCAGCCTGGTGATAAGCAGTGTTATACTCTTGAAATGCTGGGCAGTGGCAGTGAGCCCCGGCCCTAGTTAGGCCTACAGTAACCAGAGTAAGTGGCCAGCACTCTGCAGGAGTGCTTTCTTGATTTAGGGTAAGGTCGCACCCAAACAAATGCATCATAAGTTGAAAGTATCCTTAAGTGCATAATTCACATGGGTTGGGGAGCCATGGTTCAGTCCCCAGCAACCCCCCGCCAAAGCATTTAATACTAAGTGTGGCAGTGCACACCTGTAATCCCAAACCCGGGGGTGGAGGTGGGCTGAGGCAGGGGATTGCAAGTTTGAGTTTAGACTAGGTGATTTAACAATTTAAGAAGATGTTGTCTCAAAATTTAGAGAAAAAAGCTGGAAATGTAACTCAGCAAGAAGGCCCTGGGTTCAGTCTCCAGTATCACACAAACATGCACAAAAAAGTCATTTAAAACCCTAACCCACCACATGGCTTAGCAGTGTCAGTTAAGCTGTATCGTCATGGTGTGGGCACCTCCAGAAAGTTACTGCACAGCATAAAGTTAGCTCAAGAAAAGATCAGAATTCAGGATGTTAAGTATAGTTCCACCCAAATGCACCTCACTTTTGCATCATTGGTCTGTGCATTCTTACATTGTGTCAGTTCACCATTGTAGTGGTAGAAAAATGCCTGTTTCACCACAGAATTTGATTCTTAGCATTTCTTCTTGTAGTGCAATCTCAAATTATAATGAAGCCGTTAGGAAACGTTTCCTCCCAAGTGAGTGGTAGGATTATAGGCATATGCCACGATGCCCAGATAGTTTCCAGTTTTAGATACATTAGAAGACCCCTCTGATAAGAATTCCTAGACTAGAATAAAAAGTCTTAGACTATATTCCTTGAAGTTATGTTTCTTTGTAAAACTGGAATGCTTAAATAGAAAAAACAAGTTTTATTTCAGTTGTATAAAACATTTTTTAAAACTCCTTAGCATTCCTCTTGTCATGTATGTACTTCAACAAGTACCAACTCCTTGGCTACCAAGGTACTGTATTAGTACCCCGATAGATAATGTAGATGTGTGTATATGTATGCATACATACTTATGTGTTGATTTAACAGTGTGGTAATGTCTCTTTAGACATTCTAGGATGGGAAGATTTTTAAATATAACATGGCTTATCTTCTTTTTGAGACAAGGTCTCACTATGTAGTTCAAGCTGGCCTTGAACTTGTAGTGATGGTCCAGTCTCAGCCTCCCAAGTGCTGGGGTCACAAGTATACACTTCCACAATGTTTCTTCTTAGAAACATTTCTGATTGCAGAAACTTGGTAACTATAACAATATTAAAAAGGGAAAAGATCACAATCAGGAAAGGATTTCACTTTTTTAGCCTAAAGGTTTTTTGTCTTACTCTGCCCAGTCTTAAAAAAAAAGCTCTTTCTACCTCAGAAAAGGAAATTATAAATGCTTGAGAATAAGATACTTAAATTATAACCTGCAGTAGCTTTTCTTAAAATACCTCCTTTAGTGTAGTAAAGAATTTTAATAGCTGTGTCTAAGAGGACAAAAGAGGTGCATTATGTGCCTAGTAAGTTAATCTAATTGCCCCTCTCACCATCTTTTCTGCAGTGTTCCCCATTATTAACAGTCCTCTTATTACTCAGCCCTGTATCCCATAGTGAGGGGAATGGATGAGGACGTGTGCATTGTGTTATGTCTGCTCACAGTTTGACTAGCATGGTCTGGAAGTGGGTTGTGCAGAAGAGAGGGAGCAGCCTCACTGCTCTCCCACACCAGCAGCATCTGTGGAGCATCCTGGGAGACTGGTCACGGGGCCTGGGTCCTCAGTCCGGCTCATTAGTCAGCCATTTTGGTCAACACCCTGCTTGCTGAGCACAGCCAATCCTGTTGGAACTCAGCATCCTGGCTCATCGGAGCAGAGCCTGGAAGTGATTTCTCCAGTCTCGGATTTTTTTTTTAAAGCTAATTGAAAATACAGGTTTATTTTTCATTCATTTTCCCCCCCTTTGGTGTTTTTTTTTTTTTTTCCTGCATGAAAAAAGAGGATTTTTTTACTTATTCATGCTGAGGCCAGTTTTTTAAAGCCAGCTAAGGCAGCGTCGGCTGTGCTGGACTGAAAGCTCTGCTGAGAGAAAGGGTAGGGAAGGGAAGGTAGAGGAAGAGGACATTGGGAGAAGACCATCATCTTGTTTTGCTGCATGGTAGGAACTGTCAGTGAGGAAAGATAGTGTAGAATTGTCTCTCTTGAGAACTTGCATCCATAAAGTGTTTTGCTTTGTGGTGTATTTAAACCTCCCCACCCTTTTTCCTGAAAGCTTTGTTTCAGAGCTTCAGAAATTTTTGGAATTTATTTATTTATTTATTTATTTTGGGGTGTGTGTGAGTGAGTGAGGAAATCTTATTTTGTGTGTGTGTGTGTGTGTGTGTGTGTGTGTGTGTGTGTGTGTGTTGTGGTCCCAGCTGAGTCATCATGTCTGCTCTGACGCCTCCCACCGATATGCCAACCCCCACCACTGACAAGATCACACAGGCTGCCATGGAGACCATCTACCTTTGCAAATTCCGAGTGTCAATGGATGGAGAATGGCTCTGTCTGCGAGAGCTGGATGACATCTCACTCACACCTGACCCAGAGCCTACCCACGAAGGTATGGTCAGATTCTGTCCACCAGTATCTTGCCAGCGTCCTCCTTGCAGTGGGGCGGGGAGGATCAGGGAGAGACAGGAGGAACGTACTCACTGAATTGTTAATAATCTTGGAAACCTTTCATCCTTACTTGCCCCTGTACACCACCCACCCCTGCCTGGCTTACTGGCAAAAATATTTCTCCCACCTTGTGAGGTCTCCTTTCAAAAGAAGCTTGTGCTAGTTTAGAGTTCTTTGTCTTTAAGCTGCCAAAGAGAACATTTAAGATCACCTCCCATCTGATCCTATGGATAATGTAAAGCTTATTAACTTGATATATTAAAACATCAGAGAAATTATAGTGATTCTTAACAGTAAGACAACATGACTAAGTTTAGAGGTGTTCATGATAAATACATTAGAAATACTAAAGGGTATATTTCTAAGTAAGGGTATCAGGATATATTGTTAAATTACCAAATGTTGTTTTCCTTTTACAAAGGAAATAGTTGATAGAATATTTTCTTTTAATAATGTGGGTTAAATTAGATGAGAAAGCACTTTTATATTCATCATTATTAAATGAGAATGGATACTTAATAAAAAGCATAGTGTCTTGAAAAGGTTTTAACCTTTGATTAATATATGGTAATCTCTATACATGGAATCTTTGGGGCCTTTGCTCTTTTAAATTATTTGTGCTAATTATTACAACTCATTTGCAGTTTCCACTGTCAGTGTCTTAAAGCCTTTGTTGTCTCTTTACTTTCTCCCAGAACCATCCCTAAATTGTACAGGGCTTTTTAGCACCTTCCTACAATTCTCTTCATGCCAAGCTGCAAATGGTTTTGTTTTTAAAGCAATAGTTTTCTCACCTTCGTTTGTTCTCTACCCTTAAAATGATAAATGTTAAAATGCCTGCTTGTAAGGAAAAATTCTTTATAAATATCTGCCTGGCAGTTAGGCATATCTGCCAGACCGAGAGGGCCAGAAGGTGAGTCACACATAATCGGTACAATTTGGGAAATGATTCCCTGCTCTTGACCTTGTGTACAGTCGTATCATGACTCAGACTTCATCCGTCGTATTTGGTAAGGATTTATCTCCCCACTCAAAGTAGCCTTGAGAAAAATTTAGAAGATGGTTAACATCCCAGAACACACACACACACACCATGTTTAAGTAGTTTGTGAGACCTTTTGAGTCTTCTAACAATAGCTGGGGTTTGTCTGTTGAACAGCTTTCTTCGGCTATGTTTCAGAACATGTGCAAGGGTTAGAAGGTATCAGCTGAAATTTCATACGATGACAGTTGTTTGGGAAAAAAATCCCAGTGCGTTTTGAAAGTTGTGAAATATGAAATATTTCCTCAATTATAAAATCTAGTTTCTCAATGTGTCAAAAATAATTTTTCAACAATTTTAATACTTTAACATATGTTTGTCCTATGGGTAAGCAGAAGTCTGTTTGCTGTTTGAATTCATTAAGAAATGTTCATATGAACACAGCAATATGTACGGAAGCTGCAAACTTAAGCTATAAATGGCACATTCTTTGATAAGGAGTTTAGGCAAATCAGTTCCCAAGTCCAGTACTTTAATCAGCTATAGCGAATATGTAAGAAAAGAGATGCTGGCAGTCAGTTGGGAGATTTTACCTTTAAATCGACAAAAGAATCAGTTATTTTAAATAATTAGAAATGAAGATAATGGAACAAGGTGGAAGGCCATGAAAGTATATGTAAGTATAATGATCTAGGAGACCAGGTGATACTTTATGAAAGTTTTATTTCTTTACTCCACCGAGTAAATCATTTGGGCCCCCCAAAATTATCTGCTTTAATGTTTTATGTTTGTTTGGCTTTGGTTTTTTTGAGACAGGGCCTCACTATGTAGTTCAGGCTGGCCTTGAACTCACTGTGTGGTCCAAGCTGGGCTGGAACATACCGCGATCCTCCTGCCTCAGCTTCAAAAGCACTGGTACTACAGGAGGGCATCACTACACCCAGCTGCCACCACCCAAAAGTGCAGGAGACCATTTATTTTGGTGGAAAAGAAAAAGATGTATTCTATTTTCTCCAATCTCTATCTCACCATATTCAGAAGTACAAGGGCTTTTGTATTAAGGAAGACAGGAGAGAAATATCTTGAGACAAAAACCAAGGAAATTCCCCAGCAGCCTTCTCCTTCCCAGCTGCTGCATGTATGGTTTCAGTTACATCCTATGGGGGCTATTTCTGACAGAGGTGTTGCTTTCATGTCCATTTATCTAAGCTGAGGAGAGGATACTGTCAGCTGAGGAAGTTGGCCAAGTAGCCTATCTCTAAAAGGAAAAAGTCCTAATTTTTAAAGTCTGTTTGACCAACTGGTTACATTATCACCATTGACTGCTGTAGATTTAATTGAGCACTAAGCATTTACATGGTGAGCAGTGATTACATCATTCTCGCCTTACTGAGAGGGAGCTGCTGGTCCCTGAACACAGGCGGAGCCAGACTCCTTTCTGGGTGATTCCCAGACAGAAAGACTCCCGCCACACAGATCCTGTGTGGAGCCCCCTGACTCCACAAAAGAAAGTGGACAGTATCCCTCATAAGGTGATGTGACCTCAGCACAGAAGCTTGTGGTCCGCAGATTGTGCTGTGTGGAGTAGCACTTGCACAGGTCACCGCGCGTCCACGCAGGCAGGCCTGTCTGGGCTCTGCCACCCTGGCCTGGAATGGATGGGTGTGCACACACTTGCCTCTGTCTCTGTGCCATCAGCAGTCAGTGAGGTGATCACTCTCCTGTTTTTATAAAACCAGGAGCAGATCTGAAACATCATTGAGTGTAGGTGGTTTTCCTGAAAAGACAAGGGCTGAGGATAGAAACCATAGGACAGGAGAGGGAAGGATCAGGAGAGGCTTCCTGGAAGAGATTTGAGCCACATCCAGCCAGGCATGGAGCTGGCCAGTAAGACGCACCAGGAAACAGCAGGCAGTGAGATGAGGAGCATAGTGGCTGCGGAGCTGCACCCCGGGATGTGAGGCTGAAAGATAAGCAGGGGCTGACCAAGAAGCCATTGGTGTTTTATGTCCAAGTGACATGAGCTAAGACTTATGTGAAACAATTGCGCCAGCAGTGCAGTAGGTGGATCGAAAGGATATACCAGGAACCCCTAACCATCACTGTTAAAATGGTCACAGTAAGAGAGGAACATCCCAAACTAAAGCAGTGAGCGTGAATTTACCAGGGAAGAAGCAGTTGCAGAAAAGTAGAATATATTTGAAGACTGAGTAGCTATGGGTCTGGAAGATGAGGGGCCAAGTTTTTGACTTCAGGTCCTGGGTCTCCTTTGCCAGCAGGGAATGCAGAAGAAAGGAAAACTGTTAATCTCTGATACTAATAGATTAGGAGCAGTCTGTCTCTATCCCTTTAGCCTTCTGTCCACACCCACAGGAGCATATCTCAAGCTCACCTCCAGGTTAAGTGCTCTGCTTACACACAACTTCCCAAAAGACTTCGGTCCCCACTCTTGGAGGTGGGGGATGGAGAGGAATTAGAGTAAGGCGTAAAGGGACATTCCATGGTTTGAAGGATGGCTCACTTTTCTCTTGTTATGTCAGCACTTAGAGGAACAGGCTAGTTTATGTAAAATTCATTTTGGCTCTTTGTTACTCAGAAAAACACACCAGAGCTAGTCATGGAGGTGTGTGCCTGTCACACAGCACTTGGGAGGCTGAGGCATCATGAGTTTGAGGCCAGCCTGGGCTAAATAGTGGATTCCAGGACAAGCTGAGCTACAGAGGGAGATGGGGGGGTCCACCTCTGGAATGACTCGCTGAGACAATGGTTGAGTTGTTTTTGTTTTTTGAAAAATCTAGTGAATTTCAAAGTAAAGGAATGTCCAAAGCACAGTGGAAGATTAAGAGACTTGCCCTTTGTTTTCCTCACTAGTGGAAGCAAAACACCTGCTAGATCTGTAATCATTATTATGGTGATATCAGAAATAGTTTCATTTCAGAGATGCTTATCTGCATCTGGATTAGAGTAGTATACTCAAAACTGGTTGTATAATCCAGGTTCAAGAAAATAATAAGTGTGTGTAGGTGCACATACATGAGGGGTGGGCAGGCATAGCATCGCTTTCCTGTTATCAAATCTTTAAAAACAAACTCAGTTCTAACTGTGGTTCAGTTTATAATAAGCTTGCCCTGTAAGTGTGGCATATGTATGGCATGTGTGTATTGTATTTTTCTTAAGGTGAAAGATGTTAATATATGAATTGTTTTCTAGGCTGACATCTCAGTGTTCAGGTTTAATTGCACTTCTGGCACTTTGTGATAAATAAGTGGGGTTTGGGTTGCAGTTTTAGCACTTGGTTACTAAAAGGTTTGCCATCCCTACCCTATGATGAGATTACCTAATTTGTGTGATGAAAAATCTTTTGATATCTTGAAGAGAATCTTTTGAAATGAAGTGCTAATCCTTTCATGTTTTGACTTTTATGTGACTAAAGTGAAGTTAGCTTAAGAGATGGCAGTAGTGTTTCATTTCACCTGGGTATGATTTTACACACCTGTGCTGCTAGTGTGGGAGAGAGGTTGAGACGGGAAGACTACATACAAGTCCAGGCCCAACCCAGCCAGCTTATCAAGACCCCCGCAGCAAAATATAAACAGGGCTGGGGGTGCATCTCAGTGGGGGAGTCCTTGGGTTCAGTTTCCCTGTGCTGTGCACACGCGCACACACACACACACACACACACACACATGCGCGTGCGCACACGGCAAAAGAAAAAGACAGCAGTAGGGCTGGGGATTTAGTTTAGTGGCACTGTGCCTGTCTCACAAGTGCAAGGTCCTGAGTTCTATACCTGGTACAAAAAAAAAACAAACAAAAAAACAGCAATAGTGTTTGATTTCCAAAGAGAATATAATATTTTTATGGGTTTTTTGTTTTGTTTTGTTTTGGGTTTTTTTGGTTTTTTTCTTTGTGGTACCAGGAATCAAACTCTGGACCTTTCACTTGCCAGGCAGGCATGC